CAGCGCAGCCCGCTACTCAGCGCTCTTATCTTAATTCATACCTCAAACTTGCAGCAGAAGGGGAAGAACGTTTTGCCGGTCTGGTAGGTACGGCACCCTCTTCGTTCACGCGTCAGTTTCCTGGTAATTGGATCTGACTTGTGTGTTGACTCGGCAGACAGAGTCATTCCACTGCTCTATAGTGTCTTGTAGTCTTCGTACCAGTATTTAATCATTTTTGACCGCGATGGATTCTTTCGGCTTTGACTTTGCGGGCGGTGATTTGCTCGACTTGGGCTCACTTGGTTCATGGACCAACAGCGCTCCTATTGGTAACTCACCTAACGGCGGCAATAATGGTGCTTTACCATTCAGTGTAGGTACCCCCACGGGCGTTCAGAGCCTTGGGGATGATCCATTCGCTGCTATGCCTAGTGGAGGCGACAACGACTTTAGTTTTGGTGACTCGCCCAAGCCCTCGCCTGGCGCACAAAACTACAAGACAGGAGACAAAGCAACTTTAAACTCTGCGTCGGCACTGACTTCTACATCCTCCGCACCACCCACAAGCTCAGGTGGGGGGGACATGGGGACCAATTATTTTAGTTCAGAGCTTGAGGCTTCTTCGTCGACCGCTCTTGGGAACTCGTCTACAAATGACCCGTCCTCATCAGCAGACGATAAAACAAAGAAGAACGGGTCAGAAATAAAAAAAGAGGCTGCGAGTGGCTCTTTGACGACTCAAACAGTGTCCAACGCGCCGCCGCCGTCATCGGCTAATGTAACTACCTCATCTATTTCTCTTAAGTCCGAAACCGCGAGCTCGACTACCGCTACATCTACTGCGACATTAACAGCCACTTCAACGTCGACAACTGTACTCCCTACGCCTAGTACCGATACTGCGTCCAATGGCAACAGCAACACAATTAGCAGCAACGCAATAGCTTCCGCACCGTCTACGACGTCGTCTGCACGGCCACATCTTGGCAATCAGCAGCAGCAACAGCATCAGCAGCAACATCAACATCAGCATCAGCATCAACATCAGCATCAGCATCAGCATCAGCAACAGCATCAGCATCAGCAACAGCAACAGCATCAGCATCAGCAACAGCATCAGCATCAGCAACAACAACAGCAAATGCAACTTCAGCAGCAAAGACAACAACAATATGCAAATCAAATGATGCTAAACCGGCAGAATGGACAGCCGCCACAGTTTCCTGGTCAAACCTATCAGCAACAGATGCACGCAAGCCAAATGCCTGGTGGTGTCAGTGGTGCACCGCCTACTGGTGCTCAATACATGGGAGGGCAAGCTGGGCAAGCATATCGTCCACAGACGTCATCTTATGAAGAAGAATTTGCGCGGGTAAAAGCTATGATGATGCAGCACATGGATTTGATACCCCCGCCAATGGAGGTACTTCGGATTTCGATGAGCCAGAGTGCAAGTCAGCAGAACATGGCTATGGGTACAAACACATTTATGCAGCAACGCGGCAATCCAGCATTGAACCGGGGGAGTAATACTGCGGGTGCAGCATACGCTCAATATGGTAATCAAAATATGATGATGGGAGGTCCGCAGCAGAACCCACAGCAAGCGGGTATGATGAACGCTGCGCGCATGCGCGCGGCTCAAATGGCTCAGCAGCAGGCTCAACAACGTGTCTCTGGTGTTCGTACACCTGGTGGTGGCAACGATACGCAGTCTGCTTGGCAGTCGGAGAATGATCTTCCTTTGCGTCGAAAGATGATTGGCAAAATGTACGTCACCACGTGATTTTTCTGACTTCTTTATCTGTGACATATTTTGTTGTATTTTTTGCCGATTTTGTGGTGCAGTGTCAGTCTATTGCAGCAACGGAAACCGGACGCGCCTGCGGAGTGGATCCGACGGCTTCCAGATATGGCGAGAAGGCTGGAAGACTCGTTGTACCGTACGGCAAAAAATCGGGATGAATATGGTGACTTCTCGTCCCTTAAAACTCGACTACAACATTTGGCAGTCACTATGGGTGCACGGGCTCAGCACAAGGCTGGCGGAAATCCTCGGGCACCCGGGGCCGGAGGTACTCCAGGAAGTGCTGCAGGGGCTGCTGGCAACGGGGCGATGATGACCGGCAATGTGCCGCCAGGCATGGCAATGAATCCGGGAGCTGGCGGCATGGGCGCTCAAGGCCACGTAGTGGGTAATATGCCTTACGGAAATCGAATGACTCAGCAGCAGCTTATGCAGCAGCAACATTTGCAAATGCAAATGCAGCAGAATCCCCAGATGCGGCAGCAACTGACCCCACAGCAACTGCAGCAATTCCAGGAAGCCCAACTGCAGCGACGGCAGCTTCAAATGCAGCAAGCGCAGCAACAAGCCCAGCTGCAGCGGCAAAACTCGCTGCAACAACAGCAGTATCAACAGAACCAAGCGCTTCAACGTCAAAACTCGATGCGGCAAATGCAGCAGCAGCAAATGCAACAGCAGATGCAGCAACGGCAAAACCCGAATTTCCTACAACAACAACAAGCCCAAGCTCAAGCTCAAGCTCAAGCTCAAGCTCAAGCTCAAGCTCAAGCACAAGCGCAAGCTCAAGCACAAGCTCAAGCCCAAGCTCAAGCGCAGGCTCAAGCTCAAGCTCAAGCTCAAGCTCAAGCTCAAGCTCGTGTACAAGCCCAAGCTCAATCTCAGCGGAACGGTACAGCCACCGGTAGTGCTAGTCAACAGCGCTCGAGTAATGATATGAGTCTCGGCGAGTCCTCGGATTTTTTAAATCTTGATCTGTCATCTTCATTGCTTGGTTCGGATGATTTGCATGGTGAAGGCAACTCTGGACTCGCTGGAGGGGATGGCATGAAGAATGGAAGTAACGAATCTACTCAAATCGGCGGTCAAAAGCGAACTCTTTCACAATCTCAGCAGCAAATGGCAGCTGCAGCAAATGCAGCAGCTTTTAAGCGCACAAAAGTAGGGAGCACTACCGGCCAGACCGGGAGTCAGCCAAATTCAACTCCAAACCAACACCATCCTGGCGCTACAGCAGGATCACAAGCCTCTCAGCCATCCCAAACACCAATGCAAAAGCCTGCCTCTGGTACAAGTGGCTCCTCAAAGACCCCACCAATGAGTACTGTGAATGCCAAGTAAATCTTGCTTAATATGACAATTGAAAGGTGGCAGTAAAATGCAAAATGTAATGAAGCGCATGGAAGATGGGATGAGCAAATTATCACGCATTGATAGCAAAGTTGGGCGTATGGGAATATCCTGCAGACCTGTTTGTATTTCTTGATGGGGTGCGTCGCGAAGAAAGCCAAGCTGTTCTCACTTGTTAGGGGTTATACCTAGTTCACGAGTAGATAGAGTGGCTTTTTGTCTGTGTTGAGAACCCCCCCTTATTGACGAGCACTGTTAAGGAGAGCAACGTCATGTCGAGGGGTTGCAAAGATTACCGAGCTGTGCTGCCTTTGGCACAGGCGAGATGTTTGGGTCAGTAAATTGTAAAATGACGGGATTGATTCAGAGCAAAGGAAGGAACAGGATGTTAGTTGTGATATAATTATTTTCTTGATCGCATCTGCAGTCTGTTTGGTGTTTTATCTTACCTGGAAAGGTTGCGAGATGCGCGTTGCATAGAGGATTAAAAGTGTGACTATCATAATTGACCTAGTCCAGCACTAATGAAATGTACTTTAAAGGTAAGGTATACACCGATCCAGATGCGCACATTACGACGCATAGAATTGATATAAACTTTGATTCTGGAGCTGATGCTTATATACGCAGTATCCCAGATACTTTTTAAAAAATTAGCGACTTAGTGCACGCTCACGTTGCTCCCAAGGTTATGCCAGTTCGAAATTCTTTAAACTTCTGCTATCGTAATGTAGGCTCTTGCTGCATGCATAAAAATATTACTAGCAATTGCAGGCGGTACAAGGTACCGGTTTTATAACATCCACACATTGATTTAAATGAAGCTAGTGGAAGTCGTTGAAGCCGATGACGGCGATCAAGAGGCACAGCAGCTCTTCGTGGCACTGGAATTTCCTGCCCATTTTGGTACAAAGGTAATCAATCACCTCTCAATTCAGTTCCAGTCGCTGGTGGAGCTTGGATTCACGCATCTTAAGCGGCTTAAAAAGCACCCAGAATTGGCAAAAACACTCATAGCGCTTGTGTGTCCTATAAGTTCAAATGATAATGCGGTTGGAACATCCACCAAAGAGTTGCGAGAACTGGAGATGATTTTTGAAGCCAAACTTACAACAGCAGAAGCTTTGAAGCGGCCACCGCGTACCCGTGAGCTATATGAAAAGTACACACAGCTCTGGCCGCTTATCTTCCACGCCAGCGTCGAGGAGTCTGTGACAACGGCCCCGATAGGGGAAGAGGAGACAAACCAGATGGAAAAACTTTTAAGAGTTGCTGTCAAGATAGGAACTACTTTGGAAGAGGATAGGCAGGAAGTATTGAAATGTGCGTGGGGCTGTGTGGTGGTGAATCCCGCGGCTAACGAGCTCATCACCTCTTCAAAAACTGTCGGAATCGTCGAAATGCTGTATCACCCTGTTATGGTGGCGATCAATCGAGTTGCAGAACGTGATCGTCGACGAGACTCCGAGGCTAGAAAGGACACGGAACACAAGAAGCTGAAACGTCGTGAAAAGGAAGACTTAATTTTAACGACAACGGAAAACACGACCATTACAAAACAGAGCGATTCATACTTGTGCACTGGATATGACGTGTATGTTGACCATGAGCCATGTGCCATGTGCGCTATGGCATTGGTGCACAGTCGAGTACGACGTGTGGTGTTTGATCGCGCGAACCCAAGCGACGGCGTCCTTATGAGCTCGATTAAGCTGCACACAATCAAATCATTAAATCACCACTACCGCGTTTTCCACATGCCTCTCTCAATAGAGGTCATTCAAGGTTGCAAGGAGTAAGAAACAAATCGAGTGATTAAGCGATAAAAAACCCGGTAGAATAGATTATAGTGTCAGCAGATCAAGAACTTTACGCTCCGAAGTCTCTGCTCATGGCTTCAAGCTTTCGCACAAGCTCATTAAACGTCGGTCGCTGATCCTGTCTTTTCGTCCAACACTCTTCTAATAGCATAGCAAGTGCTGAAGGCGTCCCTTCCGGAACTATTGGACGCAAGTTTCCCCCAGCTACACCATTCATAATATCACTTGAGCCCAAATCCGGATAAGGCTCTCCCCATGCTAGTACCTCCCACACAATGATCGAGAAACTGTAGACATCACACGGAGTGCCATATTTCTCACCACGCAATACTTCCGGTGCTACCCAGAGGGGGCTGCCGCAAATGGACATAGTTTTGCCAACGTCGCGAAACTTAGACAATCCAAAGTCTCCAATTTTTGTCCGCATTCGGTCGTCCAGCAAAATATTTTGAGATTTGAGATCACGGTGAATCACGATCGGATTATGGTTGTGCAAGTACGCCAAACCTTTTGCCATATCAAATGCCACACTATACGCAAGACGCAGCTGACGACTGGATTCGGGACAAGGCATTTTGTGGTATATGTCAAAGAAACTTCCATTGGCAAGCAACTCCGTCACAAGCAGCAGCGTCGGCGGTTTCGAGCATGAGCCCATAAACAGCACTATATTCGGATGATGTAAACCTCTCATTATACTGCACTCCTTTTCAAACTCAATCAGAGTATTTTTTGGAACACTGCTCACATGGAGCTTCTTGATGGCGACAGGAGTACCAAAGTAGCTTCCTTTGTACACGACGCCAAAGACCCCACGTCCTATAGCCGACTCCACAATTAGATCCTTCTCGCAAATCGACAATCCATCATTATTTTCAAGTGCATTGGAATTGCTGACAATTTTTCGGTCTGGATAAATAATGTGGTCTTCCCATTTTTCGTTTCCGCAGTGCTTGGTGAGTATAGACTGAAGGGTTGATATTATGACCGCGAAAGTTGGTCGAACATGGACTTCAGCACTCCAGCAGCGAGTCATGAGACCGTATAGATCCTCCATGGCATCTCCTGGAGGCAACTCGAGTGGGTGGAAATCGACTGGGCGCTTTCCTGCTTGAACAACAAACGGAATTGCGTCTACAGAGATGGAACTATACGGCATAGAACTGCTTAGTGCTTCAAAAAGAATAACACCGAAGCTGTAAACATCAGTCTTTTCTGTGTGTTCCTGCCCTCTGAAAACTTCCGGAGCAATCCAGACGCTCGAACCAACAAATACACGAGGGACGTTGGAAGTGCTGCTGGCTGTTGTTGCGCTCACATCGCTTCGATCATTTTCACGAAAAGCTTTCAGTTTGGAGAGCCCAAAATCAGACACCTTACATCTCCAGTCAGCATCAATCAGCAAATTGACGCTTTTGAGGTCTCGGTGAAGAATCGGTGGCTTACTCAAATGCAAAAAGTGCATTCCACGACTCGAGTCAACTAGCATACGCAGCAATAATGACCAGTCGATCTTAACTTCGATGGTGTGAATAACGCTGTAAACGCTCCCTTTTGGACAAAGTTCCATCACTAAGCCAACAAACTCAGGATGGACCATGACTCCCATGAACATTACCACATTAGGATGACGAAGTTGTGCCATTACACTTGCTTCCGAGCCGAAACTCGTCACAATTGACTTAGTATCACCCTGTAAAGTGATCTTTTTGACAGCCACGCGTGTCTCTTTCCAAGTAGCTGCATAAACACAGCCAAACGTGCCTTCTCCCAACTCCTCCTTCACTAAAACGTCATCGGGATCAATATGACAATTTGCACTGAGAATGCCACCAGCGTTGGATCTACTGTCAGGGGACTGGTCCGTTGCCCCGCCACTAAACCAGCCAGTCATCTCCATAGTCATCTGTACCATCACATTCTCTTGAGCAAGCCGTTCAGTCAGCACAAAGTCGCGGCGTTCTTCGTATTCCCAATTCCAAGACAAAAAGCACAGAAGGATCGAGTAAAGCGTAATTGCAGCGCTTACAGTTCCTGGGGCACTAAGCTCTTCTGTGGATGACTTACTTGCGAACCGAACCCATGCCAGAATCAAGAAAAACAAACTTGAGCATGCTAGCACAGTCGTAGACTTTAAGAAAGTCAACCCTGTTGAGCTCGTGATACCGAGCGAGAAAATAAACTGTACCCAAATGTTGCGCTCACTCACCATAGTTCCAGCAGCCGTCGTGTCTAGCAACGCACTGATTTGTCCAATCAAACAGACCAGACTCAGCCACCGCATGTGATTCATAAAAAAGTGCGGAAAACAAATCACGAGTACTCCCATTAATGTAACAACACCAGGGAATACCATGACAAGAGGTAAATGGGTCCATTTGTTGCCATTTTCAGAGCTTGCCTTGAAACTCACCTGCATTATGACAAGCAGTGGAATAAAAAAGGCTGTGAATCCTGCCCCAAACTTTAAACGTGTCTGGTACTTCACACACCTCGCCAATGCAAACCGTTGCTCCATTTCTGCGTCGGAAAACTGCAGAGATATGAAAGAAATGCCAATATCTTCAAGGCGACTTGGAGTATTACCAATTTTGCTCCCTCGAGGACGAAAAAGGTGATTAAGCTTGAGGTCAGACACACTTGCACCCATTATGTGCAGTCGCGTTCCTTTTATTGGCGATACTGGTGCACTTATCGCGCCACTATAAAGTTTTTTTGGAGATGAAAGCGCATATGACGGAGCGTCGTAGCGTGGCGTGTCATTGTTCTGCAGATTCGCACCACCGACTTTAGTGGATGCGTCTTTGGGAATCACTTTGGCCATTGAGATTTTTGTCGGCGTATCAGTCATTCTGGTATGGCCCGTGTGGAAAAACGGGAATGAAATCATCACGTCGGTTGCGCTTATGACGCTTTTTTTGGGGGTACAGTACTGTCGGGGTGTCTCTGAATTCTGCAGACGCCAATATTATATCAAAAATAGCATGATTCATGTCGTCAGGTTTGACCACTTTTCTTATTAATCTAACAAAGGCAAAATTACAAATATTGCTTATTAAGTGCTTCCACAGGGTCCAAAGTAAAATTGCCAAAAGCTCCTCGACGAAATTCTGCCAGCAAAAATTTTGCCGCCAGTCGATCTTGAACGTCAGCCTCTTTGCCAAGTGCACCGCAACGTTTATAAACGAGCTTGAACAAGTCACTGATGTTATCTACAGGACCCGGAAGGTCCAGCGATTCCACATATATAGTCGACTTCATTTGGTTTAATAGAAACAACATGTAGTCTGCTATAAGCTCAGTACCCACGACTTCATCTTTAATTGCTCCCGTCAATGCCAGCCTCATGCCCGTCTCCGCCGACGGGATATTGGGCAGCATGACACCGGGCGTGTCCACCACGTACACTGCTGGCTTGTCATTCACCTAGAAGGCACAAATTAACAGCAGGACGAGTAAACATGTGAAACGACACCCTGATGCTTCTGCTCTACTTGCACACCTTGATTATGTCGTTGCGAACAGTGACACCCGCTGTTGACCCCACCGCCGCTCTTTTTCGACCTTTTGCCAATCTAGAGTTTGAAAGTCGTCTGAATTCATTTATTAACGAGCTTTTGCCGACGTTTGGGATGCCTACTACCATAACCATTGAGCCAGCTGTACGTTTAAACTGAGCTTGACTGTGGTGGTTACACCATTGCAAAATTGCCTGCAGCCGTCTGCCCTTAGTCACGGAGGTGAAAAGGCAGGCTGTGGCTTTTCCGAACTGATTTTCGCACTGCTTTTCAACGCGTTGCTCCATATTTGAGTTGGCTAAATCACTCTTGTTAAAGACAACGATACGAGGTTTGGACTTGCCAAACGCCTCTTCCAGAACAGGATTTGCAGAGCTCCAGGGAATACGAGCATCGCGGACCTCGATCAATACATCTATCGCATCCATTTGCGCCACCATTTGACGTCTGGCGTGCGCCATGTGACCAGGAAACCAGTTGACTTTGGCTGGGTATGCGAATTTGGACCGGAACGCACTCATATCTACCGACCACCAAGCTAAAGAAAAAGTGCCATTGCGATTGGATGAAATACAGAATCATTTGAATTTGATAAAAGTTGAGTGTAAGGTCAATTTCAGGACGTGAAAATATTCGGGCTTGAGGTGAAGGCAAATGGCTTTCCTACTACAAAGAAAAGATCACCAACCTCGATCTGGAGATCTGTTGGAGGGTTTGTAAAGACACATGGATGCGGAAGTGCTACACCACGCTCTGGACGCCACAACCCGATGATGGTGCAACTCGCCTGTGCAAGAGTAAGGTTTAGTAAGACGTTGTTTATGGAGTTCAGGGCGTACCATATCAAGAAATAAGCGAAAACATTCGCCGTAAGTCCGTGCAATTAACTTGTTCGGCGCTTCGATCTGAAAAAGCCGGCGCTCTCTACGGATCAGTAAAACAACTAATTTAGGGCTCCATGTCACCAATTTTGTAATAAGCGTACTCAAGGTCGTTAGTAGAGCCATTTATGAGTAAGTGAAGAAACTGGGTGATCCACGGTTTTCGATAGCATTCGCTCATCAGCGAATCAAGCATTGAATTCATAAAGACGCGTCCAGAAGCAATAAATTCTTCCAGCAAAAATGAGGCGTCAGTATTCCCGTCACCTTCATCAAGAGAAGTCCAAAACGAGTCACGTCGTGATAATACTGAATTTACACTCTCACGACGCGTGGAAAGGTACGATACATTGCGATTCACCGGTGCAGGCATACCGTAGGCGGAAGTTGTGCGACGTTCGTTAGCTTGAGAGCTCAATAACTTCACATTTGATGACTTGTCCAATTCGACCACGAGATTTGGCATTCGTGTGCGCTGACTTATTTCTACGATGTATCGTACAATGGTAATAGCGTCAGCATCCACCATATTTGGGTCAGAGTACTGTGCTTCAGAAGCTTGAGTAAGAATGAGGACGGAAATTGCTGAGCGGATGTTTGTCTTTTTGAGATCAGCAAAGTTGACAGGAGAGCCTTGAACAAAATACACGTCACTAAAGCCACGAAGGCGTTCAAATTCACGTTCATTCAAGCAATCGGCTGCTAGAAAAACGATCGCTGGCGACGGACTGTTGTCGTCGTCGGGCACGGGTGCCTCTCGAATTGTGATGATGAAGTGATATGTATCGGATGGAAAACCACACACTACAATATGATTGGTGATATCTTCCGGCGCACCTAAAGATGCAAAGCGTTCATACTCCGACATTTCGCCCATCAAGCGACCATGAGAATGCCCACTGTACCCATACGCTTCGCTGTCAGCCAAACCCATCGCAGCTTCGACGTCATAATCTTCAGCCACACTGTACATATTGATGATACTTTCGCGGATCTGTTCAATTTCATCCCCAAGTGCAGGTTTAATTTTCTTCATCTCCATCAAATTGCTGCTCGAACTTGACTTGCCTTTGCGACGCACACCTTTCCGATACGATAAAATTTGCTCGGGTGGGATTTTTACAACACCTTCGACGGCGCTGAGGCCCTTAGCGATAACGTATACCTTGCAACAGAGGTTTGGATCCGCCGTGGCACCAAGTTTGAAGTCCATATCAATAAAGCGCACTCCGTCGTCTGTGAGCATCGCTAATGGAATGATGGATGCCTTGTCGTAAAGGAAGCGAATAAGATCACCAAATGTCAAGCTTGAAAAGGTTCGCGGAATGTCTAGTAAAAAAATACCGTGCATGTAGCCGTGAAGATAATGGCGTTGCCATTGTGGAGATGAGTGATGGCTATCGAGATCGCTGTTGCATTGCGCAAGCAGATTCAGCAGTAACGTTGGAAGTCCATTTACCTGACAGCTTCTTCCTAAAATCGAGAATTTCAGCATTCCTACAACGACGACGTCACTCGCACCCATTTTGAGCAATGTGGCTGCATTACGCGAATTGATGATTTGTGCGTAGATTGGGCATGTGGGGTTTCCACGACGCAATGCAATTGTGATAAGGGCACAACATTGGTCAGCGTACTGTGGACGGGAAGACTGCCGATTCACAAGAACGTAGCAAGCGCTAACATCGGACAGAACAGCTCGAGTAAGATCCTCATCCAGCATCGGAGAGCCCACGATATACTGAGCTTTACTATCGTACGCGTGCAAAACCTTGTTAATTTCGGGTGTAGGGGGGGCAGCGTTTAAAATTACTACTCGTTCATTCCAATTGAGATTGCTAGGATGAAAAAACTCTCCAAAAAATACTGAGAGCGAGTCAGCATTGACAAATCCGGTAAGAATGACGTGAGGGTGCAACTTGGCCGCCGAGTACGCAGACGAATAGTCAGTATGCGATGTGATTGTTGCTTGAATGCGGTTCACTTGGATCGGCACAACAATGAAAGTAAAGAGAATGACGAAGGCGATGACGAATTTGCCACTTATTGAAACGGGAGAGATATCACCGTAGCCCAGAGTTGAGATACTGACAACCACAAAGTAGAGTAAATTTGGAAAGGATAAGTCTCGGCATCTGCACACGCGGGCCTCGTCGTCACAGTGTTCTAGACAAGCCTCCGTAGCTTGCACCACTCCAGCTGTCGTAAAGACGATCGATACTATCGTGAGCATTGCTGCCCATGCTTGTTGCTGGAGGGACGAAGTTGCGAATTGGACAAGTCGGAAAATTCGGATAAAGCGTAGAGGGCGCAACAATCGAGACACATAAGGCAATGTATCGGCATAGCCGATGCTGGGCGTGTGCGTCGATATGAGATCAAACCATGATGGCAACACCACCGCAAATTCTACGATTGGAAAAAAACTAAGGATATACTCGAGTCGATCAAATGCTGCGTACGCATGGACAAGGTACCTAACCGAAGATGTATTAGCCCTTTGAAAAAAGTTGTTCATCATGATGGCTTACTCGAGCGTGAATATTAAATTCAGGCTGAAATCAACTTCTGATGATGTACACAATACCGTACACTCAATTCTTTGACACCATTGCTGTCAAATCGATTCGGTACGTACCTTGCATCCATGATTCGAGTCCTATCCGGAGTCCAGTCCAATTTAGGCTGACGTGAAAGACGGCCTGAAACGTGCTTGATATGGCCATTGTTGTCCTGAAAATATTGCCAGCTAAGGAGCTCTCGAGATTTCGTTGTACCCATTCTCTTAAGGGCTCTCCTGTGAATCTCTTCACGAGATACAAGCGAGGTTTTCGCTTCGATCGTGGCGCTAGCATCATCTTGTTCCGGGTAGAGACCGCATGGCGAAGATGCTTTGGAACACTCCCCTTTATCACAGCTGGCTCCGACATCGAAGGATCGTAATCTTGTCGCGACGCTTGACAATACTTTTTTCTAGTATTATTTAATTGTAAAAATTCTATTGACAACTCTTAAAATGTATTAATCATTTGCCGATTGCGATTCTGGTCAATATGGTCAGACATTTCGAATGGAGAAAATCAATAAATCTGGACCTTTGACTGGAACGATGATCAAATGCGCATCGGAGACATTGCTTCGTTCTTAAGAAGAGCTTTTTCATACCGAAGTTCGACTTGATTCCAGATTAAGTCATAATTTCTCAGCAATCGCTGGTGCAGTCCGTGCATATGCTTGAAAACAAAGATAGTTACTAATCAAGATATCGCCGAACATTGTCTCTTTCGTGAATGCAGACTGTCTGTGTAATGATATGTGTGCTGTACAATGGTGCACATACACCTTTCATGGTTGTACAATCATACGCATGTAATACGACAATGACAGCTTCGTCGAAAGAGAGAGGATCCATGAAGGTGGCTGTCTGAAACAAGTTGCACATGTACAGTGTTCCTTCTAATCATTGTAAAATGGTATACTTAGTTAACAGTTCTTACTTTGTTGGTGTTGCGATTATAATTTTGATGCATGCGGACATCCTAATCAGGCGGTGTGAAATTCGCGACGTCTGCCGCTTAAGTAGTCCCCATTCTGGGACACCGCACGTTACAGCTCATTTCTCCTTGGCTGGATAATATTAATGCGACGCGCTGTTTCTCTCTCGAGAGCAAGGTCGAGACCATGAAATCTCAACCTCTCGTTTCCAGATGAGGATAGTAGTCGATGTAAACTTACATTGGTGCCTCAATCGCATTTCCTCAAAAGACCGTTTATTCTCTGATAGAGCTACCCCCCGTTACGCACGATCCCGCATGCTGTGCTGCGGATTGTCACCGCCTTTCCTTACAGGTTACGACTTCTCTTTGTGATAAATGGGTCTTGAACCTGTGCTTTGCAGTACGTCGCGAGGAGGTGGCGTTTTAAGTATGGGCACTACGCAGCCAAGTTCTCACCAGAGCAAAATTGTGTTATTTTCCAATTGGGCAATCATAATTCGCCCGTCTATGAACAATTCTGATATGTGTTTAAGGATTTTTTTGTGTTTCTCACGTCTGGAACCAGTTTGAAAAGGCCATTTTGACGCTGTCATATATTAAACTTTATAAGTTACAAATTGTTGAAGGAAGTTGCAACTCAGCTAATTTATCCAACTGCAAATACTATACGGTAGACTTTTTTGGTTTTCGACCAGTACTACAATTTGACTATATATACTTACTTTTTTACAAATTGAAGTGTGTTCGTTGATCCGAGAGAAGGTTAGCATCTCCCTCGACAAGGACGGGATTACGCACTGCGTATGAATCACGAGGTGGTTTAAGCATAGTCTTCTATCGAAGATATCTAACAGTTTTTTTACCATGACACTTAAGAGAAATTGCAACAATGAGTATTTAAAGTGTTTCTCAAAAAAAGTGGCTTAAACTACAACAGCCCCGGAAGGTCGTGAGCTCTACCGCATAACAAAAGCGTCACCCTGCTGCGATGGGACGTTTAACTCGCATAGCAGTATTAGTACCTTATCGCGACAGCGACCCAGCTCACAATCGACAAGCGCATTTGAACGAATTCGTGCCATATTTGACAATTTTTTTGCAGCGGCACTGCACATTGAATGGGTAAGCGTCGCAGTAAACATTGTGAAATGGTAGAACATCTGCTGATTTTTTTCTACTTTGTCTGCGCGAAAAAGTGCCTCCTTCCACATCTTTGTCGTCGAGCAGTCACTTGACGGCCGCAAGTTTAATCGAGGCAAGTTGTTAAATGCAGGCTTCGATATTGCTCGCAACGACTATGATGTTTTTATTTTCCATGATGTTGATTTGCTACCGGGGGTAAGTTATTGAAACTTAATTGATTGAAAACTGTATCAGATTCGAGCTGTATCATATTACTACGACATACAGGATGAATTAGGTGAGTTCTATACGACCATACCGTGCCTTGGGCCGACGCATATTGCGCGACTATGGGAGCGTTACAACAGCTGCTTAAGCTACTTTGGTGGCATTGTGGCATTCACAAGCCAGCAATTTATCAAGGTCAACGGATTTCCCAACAACTTTTGGGGCTGGGGGGGAGAGGACAACGAACTGTATAGTCGAGTGATTCGCAACAAACTCGCCATTCAGGCTCCGAGAAGGTGGGGTTGCTGGTTACAGGATGTTATGGTCGACTTACCCATGGTTTGTATGTATTAGTGGCACGATTCGCGACTTAGAGAAGCTCACACTGCAAGATAAGTTAAAAATGCTTCGAAAGGGCAACGTCAAGTGTACTGTGAAGCACAATCTGCTCAAGGAACATCATCGCACGTGGAAGAAAAATGGTTTGACGAATTTGTGCTATGAATACATAGACGCCGAGGCAATTAACGAATATTGCACTAAGATTACTGTCAAGCTCGGTCCAAATGGCCATTGGTCGGACTCACGATCGTCCTTGGAGCACCCGACAGCTCTCGGTGAGAGTTCGGAAATTACCGTCTCGAGAGCAAACTAAAACATGTTTAACAATTTATTTGTCCTCTTGTTATCTAAATTGTTAGATTTAATCTCAATTTCTTTATATTTCTGCACAAATTTAATTCTTCAGATTAGCTGACTGGAAGCAAACAATATAGCATGTCGCGCACCTTCTTCGGAGCACTTACACAGGGCGCCAAATTTTGCAGTGCTCAGATCCAGAACGACAAGAATCAATTTAAATACCTCACAAAAGGTTTGCATTTGATTTATACCGCAGTGCTCGTTGTACCTTGCTCTGTAGCCTTAACGGCACTGCTGCATCCTTAGTCCGCGATATCGTGTTAATGAACGTCTTATGTCGGTTTATAATATAACATACCTCAGGACCGAATAAGAAGACCAACGCTACGACAGCCCTGGATGAGTTGGACTTTTTTGGCTTTGATGCATCCTCAAAGCCTATGGAGAAAATCGAACATTTGCGCAAGATTAGCGTCGATCTGGTGTCGAGCGAAGATCTAACTAACCAGACTCGCCAAGTGAAAGGAAGCAAACCTCGTCGCAAACGCAAGCTAAGTGAAGGTGCGCTAATGGAGCAGTGTCTGGAGGATGAGGCGCGGCAGAAAGCGTCGCAACTGCTGGCCCCAGAGACCAGCAAGCGCAAACAAAAGCGCGAACGGTGTCTTTCGTGCCCCAATTCGAAGGAGAGTAAAGCTGTACTGCAGAAGTTAGAGAAGGATTTCGATCTTTCCTGCGACTGCAAGATGGATGAGGTAACCTCATTTGATCTAAATGTAGACGCGGGGGAGTCAATTGATGCAAAAACTGCAAGATTGGCTAAGGAGAGAGAGAAGAAGATGAATGACGGAACTTCTGAACAGTACGCTTAGATTGATTACGGCGTGACTTCCGGTTTTGTTAAGTATTGTCGTTGTGATATGATTTAGGAAGGACATTCAGCTGCTTCGGCGTCAGCTTGGAATTCGCGTAAGCGGACTTAGAGCGCCGGCACCAATTACATCGTTTGCAGATATGCGCTTGGATCCTAACGTCAAGGCTCAAGAAATGAAGCGTCTACTCTTGCATAATATTGAGCGCTCCGAGTACAAGGAGCCAACGCCAGTGCAGATGCAAGCCATTCCAAGCTTTTTGCTCCGGCGCGATTTGCTGGTCACTGCGCCCACAGGTTCTGGCAAAACGGCAGCTTTTGCAATTCCAATCCTAGCAAACCTGGCAGCTCGAAACAGCATCGGCAGCGGTATTCGCTCGATCATCTTAGCTCCCACTCGAGATCTGGCTGTTCAGATTCGTGCCGAATTGGTGCGTCTCTGTGCGGGTAAAAAACTCCATGTCACGTTGCTATCCAAGGCAACTGCTGCTACTATTGCTTCCCAGACCAAAAATAAGCTAGCTATTACTCACGATGTCTTGATTGCAACCCCACTGCGACTGGTACACTTGATACAAGAATCAAAGGTTGACCTATCAACTGTCGAAATGGTGTGTCTAGATGAAGCCGATAGACTGCTTGAGCTAGGTTTTCTGGAACAGGTTGATGAAATTTTTTCTGCATGCTCTCATCCCAAAGTCCAGCGAGCCATGTTTAGTGCTACTATGTTGGAAGGTGTCGAGGACTTGGCCCAAACTGTTTTGCGTGATCCTGTCAAAGTGGCTGTAGGTCTAAAAAATGCTGGTGCAAGCACGATCGACCAGAAGTTGTTTTTTGTAGGCAAAGAAGAAGGAAAACTTTTTGCCATGAAGCAATTGCTACACGAAGGGATGCAGCTTCCCGCACTGCTTTTCGTGCAAAACAAGGAACGAGCCAACGAGCTTTACCATGAGCTGCTGTATGATGGAGTAAATGTTGGTGCTGTTCACGCAGATCGTACCAAAGAACAGCGTGATGATGTCATACGGCGTTTTCGCACCGGGGAAGTGTGGGTACTTATTTGTACAGACCTGATGAGCCGTGGCATGGACTTCAAAGCCGTTAACATGGTGGTTAACTATGACTTTCCACAGGTAAGGAAATTGTAAATGTATTCATGGACCTGAGAAAATGCTGAATTTTTGTTGTCGTATTTGATAGAGTGCGGTGAGTTATATTCACCGCATCGGTCGTACTGGTCGCAATGGACGAAGTGGCAAGGCCATCACATTTTTCACCGAAGACGATATGGTTTACCTACGAACAATTGCTAATGTAATGAAAATATCTGGCTGTGCTGTTCCTGACTGGATGCTTTTGCTGAAAAAAACAAGGTATGTTACACGAAGTCTGGATGCTTGTTGCTGCCAATGCACTGACCTGATAACTTTTCCCTCTAACAGCGCGTCAAAAAAGAGAAAGCTTTTGAAAGCACCACCTGCGCGCCATCGTATTAAAACGGTGTCCGGATACGACCTTCAGAGGGCGAACCGCCTAAAACAAATGAAACACGCGAAGACTGGCGGGTCGAGCAATTCTAGAAAACAGCAGATGGGCTAGTGAGCTTACTTTAGTTGATGCTGCAAAATTGTAAGCTTCGGTGGTTAAGATTTTTTGCTGCGACGAAAAATGGTACACTCAATAATACACGCTTGTATTGTTTGGTTGCATTAGACATTGGTTCCTGTATCTAGACGATCATGGTCCTCACTATTCTCGTAATCGGGCTTTCCAGTCATCAACGACGGTGGTGCTGTCATCTTGCGATACTGTAGCAACACTGGGTACATCTTGTCAATAGCTTGGTGAAGGTGGTCTGGATCCCTTGCGCCGCATAACACTAGTTTGCCAGACACAAAGATAAGAAGCGTCAATTTTGGCTCCACGAGCTTGTAGATGAGTCCAGGAAACAATTCTGGTTCATACTAAAATGATCAAACTAAGTTAGACGTCTTGTACAACGCAATATCAGCATTTATGCCGCATTAACGTACACTAGAAAAGCGTGCATGATCGTTTAGCAGTCCTTCAAGACGTATCGGAAAGCGAACATCGCACGTTCCCATCACATTTCGCACTTTAAACTCGGTGAATTTGGCCGGAAAGTTCAGTTTCTAAGCACTCCAGAAAGCTAGTTGGCTTGGCATGAAATGAACCAAGATACTACTCTTGCAACACTGACCTGTATTACACGCGTAAACTTGCGTGCAGCTAATCGACAATTCTCCTGACTTGTTGCACCTGTGATGACAATCTGCAAGATAGTACTGTGCTAATCAGCGACAAAATCCAGCTAAAATTGCTTTAGCTTTCTCTCAT